TTAGATTTGGTTCGGATATCGGGTGTCAAAAACATCACCCGAAATTTTTGGATATCACCCGAACCGAACCGACGCCCACCCCTACTTAGTACTACCCTTATGGCTGCCCCCGGTCTTATCTCAGTTCCAACCTGTACCTCCGAGTGCCACCCTGTACTTCTGAGTCCAACCTTTTTTCGGTCTGGGACCGTCCCCCGCCAAACAATATCGCAGAACTCTCAGTACACGATGGTGCCATTAAATTCATAGTAACATACCACCGATCTCGTGAGCAAAGCTCAAGTAACAAAACCACCAATCTCATTCACATTCACACATAGTCATCATCATCAAGAAGATTAAGACTCATCAATAGCCCCAATCAAGTATCAACAAAGGGTACAACGATTTGTATAAGATCACGCCATGAGAATCAGTCAAGAGATTTCAATAAAGACATGAAGCAATACTCAACAACAATGAACTACAATCCAACACCAATATGATTGGCAACATGAGTTGCCAATCCTCAACAAGAAGGAACAAACCATACATACTAGCATAACAACATCAAACTAGCATGCTCATCAAAATGGGTAAACCAAAATGGTTCCAACGAACCTTCAAGACTCATATTAGTCCAACGAATCACAAGGTTGGACCCTTAGCATGATTCAAGACACCAAATCCTAACATGGATTCCTAACACATCATTCTAGACATACGAAACATCAAGAAGACTCACAAAAGCTCAATAATCCAACAACGGGAGGTCAAAACATCAAATACCAAAAGGAAAGAACCACGGGGAAACAATTCCCCGCATTACCATACGTGTTCCCAACGGGTGGGGCCACGGGTAGTGCCCTGCCCGTGCGCCTGCCCGCGGGGTACACCTACAAATCACCTTCGTTCCCCGCGGGTGGGGCGGCGGGTAGGCCACTGCCCGCCGCTCCGCCCGCGGGGTACACCCTGTATACCAAAAATTTCCTTCCGGAAAATTCATCTCCAAGGTCAAGTTCAAGTCCAAAACACCCAAAACCTCACACACAACAAAGATATGACTTGAACCCAAGAATAACTCAAAGAAAGGCATTCAAGAACCCTAAATACAAGCTCTAAACATGCATTATCACAAGATCATGCATCAAATCACTCACAACATCAAGAATCATCAAATAGAAGTCAATAATCATTCATAGCAAGTATAAAATAGGTTTTGTAGAGCCTGTGTTACCTTTGTAGACCAAACACCACTTTCTTCTTACCCTCCTAAGCCTCTCCTTGAAGTTCTTCCCCACCAAGGGCTTCTCACCCAACCAAGTCACGAGGAAAACACCAAAATAAGATAAAGATACCTTAAAGTTAGCTAAAAACACTAAACAACTTAAGATCTTACCCTTTCCTATGCTAGAGAGGTAGAAAGGTGGAATCTTTAGGTGGAACCTTGCAAGGATAGGGAACCCTTCTTCTAGCTTGGAGAGAAAGATAAGATTTCTTGTAGAGAGAAGGTGGAGGTTTTAAGACTTGGCTAGCATGGGAAATGAATGAAATGTCTTGCTAGGGAAAGCTTGAACATCAAAACATGTGTGAAAGGTCAACTTTACCCTTACTAAAGTTAGAAAGACAAAAGGGTTGAGGTACAAAACATAAGGCAAAAGGTACACTTGGTTGACTAAGGAGACTAGTCAATTTCTAGTCCATTGACTATTAAATTTCAGGATTTTTAGAAAGAAATTATCAAAGGAAAGCTAGGATTAATTCCTCAATTAATCACAATTAGGAGTTAGATTTACGGGATGTCACAACATGCCTCCACCGACAAACCACCTTTCAACCACCAACATATCAAGATAGCGCCGCAGTGCCATTCACATGATCTGTACCTCTAGTACCAATATCAAGGGGTCAGCGCATATAGTCCCGACATTACACCGCAACACTTATAACCTGACCCGTGCTCAACGGCAAGCTAGTCGAAGGTGGGTTTGTGCCTTTAGCACAGTAACCGCTAGGCATGTACCTTTAGTACAATGACCGGGCACTCGTTGTGCCAACCGCCAACAATTTATTTCCACCAATCACAATCTCATCATCATCATCATCATGTCACACCGGCCATTGCGCAATGACCACGATACTCATCATCATTCAATCAACACGTAATCAATCAATAACAGTCAAGACATAACAACAACGACACGTACTACACATAAATTCCTAGAACAGTATTCAAAACATTAAACGGGACTCATACACGACAAACGGGGTACAACGGGACACAATGGAACACGAGGAAACAACAAATGGGAGAAAACATCACGACCCATAACAACTTTCCAGCGGGAGGGTGGCGAGTGGAGGACCACCCGCCAGCCACCCGCCTGCGGGCAGCCATCATTCCAGCGGGTGACCGGCGGGCAGGCCACCGCCTGCCGGCTGCCCGCTGGATTGGGCTCGCCGGGCAGCGGGTAGGTGGTGGGCGGTCATCCCCCCACCTACCCCCCCTCCCACTGGTACATAGACGACTTTTCAGTCTCGGGATCACTCGTGGAACCCGAAACCGTGTCTAAACACATTCCAACACATAATGACAACACCACGGATTCAATTAACGGAATTAAACCAAGAATCATTCCAAATACGTTCTAACACGATTCCTAAACATGTCAAGACTCAACATCAATCACACAATGGTTCAGGAGCATCCGAAACCATAAGAACATCAAGAAATCTATATGCAAAGTCCTAAATACAAGTCCTAGGCTAGACCCAACACCCGATCATGCATAAACCCACCCAAGTATACCAAGAACATCACAACAATGAGATTCACAATATAAACCCTAGAGACAAGCTCTAGACATAATTAAATACGAGATCACACATATAATCAATCACAAAAACATCAAGATTATCAAATAAACACAATATAAATCCTAGGCAAGGGCTCTATCAAGATTCAATCACAGAATCATACATACGATTATCAAAGGAGCCAATAAATAAGATATAGAAAGGAAAATAGGTTTTGTAAGACATGGGTTACCTCTTAGCCCTAATCAATATCCCTGGCTACTGAGGTTCTTCTCTAAGATTCTTCTCCCAATTGATCATCTTAGGCTCGTTGGTGGGGGATTTCCTTGGCTGGATTACCTGAGAGTATTTTCGAGTGAGGGAGAGGAGAGGAAAGGTTCTATCTGTTTCCTAATCCCCTATTTATATGTTTAAGGGAAACCTATTCAAAGGCTGAATAATTACCCCGTGTTTGCAAAATTTACTTGGCTTGCAGGTGTCTAATGTAACTAATCAGGGTTGGTTAGCCCCTATCTTGGCAACTATGTGCTTTGCTCAAGTGTGTGTTACACTGGACTGGGAAGGTGTAGAGGTAGGGGGGTTGGCTGTGTGAATGTGTGCCTGTGTGTTTGAATTCTGTCATGCTTGGTCCTCTGAGGTGGGAGTGTCTATGATTGCATTCGCTTGGGATGGACCTTGGGGGAGTTGGGTTATCTTGAATGGAGAATTGGAAAAAAGAAGAGAAAATGAAGAAAAGAAGAAGGTAAAGAAGAAGTTTTTTTAGAGTTAGGGGTGAGGTGTGGTTAAAATGCAAGAGGGAGTTGGAGTACCATCGCTTAGGGCTAGGAGCAAAAGGCTTCTCTTGATAAAACATAGTACACTATGCAATTGAAGTTTCCTATGCCTTAAGGGTGGGGTAGGAAATGAGAATCATTGCTCGCATGACATGTTTTCCAAGTCTATTGTTGATAAAAACGCAGAGCTCTGTGCAATGATAGGCGGTGTGTTCGTGTGAGGGTGATTGGATGGAGGCCATTGCTCAGGTTGTTGGTCATTAAGACCCCCCCCCCCCCCCCCCCCGGTGAAAATACAAAGATCTGTACGGGTGGGGTTGACTTGCAGTCTATAGGGTGGTTAGAGATAGAAGTGTTTGGTCTAGGCATCAGTCCCACCCTCTGGATGGGGCATGGCTTGCATGGCTCTTTTAAAGTTTGATTGCTTGGGTGAGTCGCTATGAGTGTTGGAGAGTCCTGCATATGGACTGTGTGATTACAAGCCTTAGGAAAGGCGGATGGTGGCCAAAGAAGGGGGCTAATGGCTCTCATTTTGACATAAGGCATCTTGCCTAGTCGTGTTACTTAGCATGAGGCATGATATAGCTTTGTTTTCTTATGTGGTCACTTTTGGGCCACTTTTGTTGAGACATATTTTAAATCATGCAATAAAATGTACAGTTTAAAAAAAAAAAACCCCTAAGTCATTATTACGATGTTTTCGCATGTGATTTCCTTAGTTAATCTCCTTTTTACACATTAGTTACACAATCTAACATAGTAAAGTCCTATTTTGGGCATTTTACAAATCACAAACTTTGTATTTCATTAAATATATATGCAGTGAGAGTGTGTATAAATACTTTAAATGCTAAAAATAGGTATTCAACACGTGTATTCTGAAATTTCTCAGACTTTGGCCGGTGTACTAAATTTGATAAAAATTGTATAATTAAGGTACTAAATTGTTACGGAGTAGTTTTTAAAATTATGAATTAAAATTAACAACACCCTAATAGTCATAGGCCTAATAGTCATAGGACCAAAAGTGTAATTTACTCCGAGAAATTATTAAAAATTGACAAAAACGGAAACTTTCAAAAATAATAGAAGGAAAAATGATGTCTCAAATGAGTTTCTATGAACTTAAAAAAAATTACAAAAGACACAAGTGATACATGTGTCTGCAGTGCTAGTCCAAATTTCAGCAGGTTGGTCTAATTCACATCCCTTAAAGGGCTACAAGAAGATGGATGCATGCTAAGTCGCTTGGAAGAGATGATGACCAGTTAGCTTTATCTCATCAATACATAATTTTCATTTGTATAGTCACACAAAATAGCAGAATGGTTTTAAGTTTAAGCTGTTCATTACATTTTGTTTTGTATGACTCATTTGACACCTACCAAATTTAAATAAATAAATAAATAAAATACGCATACATCTTCAAAAAAAAAAGCGTCCATCTCCTTGAATGAAGGAGGTTTACATATTAATGTTCACAATTCAAACAACATATGAATGCAAAAATAAACATGGAAAACAGAAATTTAAAAAATAAAAAATAAAAATCCAAGGTGTTCATCTTCAACAAACAAGTTCACCTCCGTGAATATAATTAAAATTCTCGGTGTCACATGCAACAAGGAAGATAATGCACCCTAACACCCAACCAAAAGAACAAGTACAAGATCAGCCCAGCAATACCGGAACTTGAGCTTCTATTGACTTCAGCACTTCTTCACCCATTTCCTTGCACCCGACTAATTTCTGGAAGAAACATGTCAACCTCAATCATCAATCAATGTTACAGGGAAATATAGGTAACTAAGGTCAATGAAGTCTCAGAAATCATGCTTACCCTTGGAAGTTTTTAAAAGAACATTTGTCAAATTTATACACATGGGGAATAAAGAAAACTAGCACATTCCTAATCGGTTTCTCTTGGTGTGGATGCAAGATGCAAGTTAACAGGCTATAAGGGAAGTATAAAAATTTGTGACTTCCATATCATCTACCAAGAAATTCAATCTCAAAGACGGCAAATGAAGCCATGGCATGACATACATATAGTATAAGCAGGAAAGTTTAGCACATTTGACTACCACAAAAATCTAAAGCAAAAATAGAGGTGGATAACAATCACCCAAGGGGGGGACATCTTTAAAAGAACAAAAGGTATACATACATGCCCAGCAGAATATATGTCACCAGTGCGAAATCCTTGATTTAAAGTGTCCAGAACAGCTGCCTCAATCCTCTGAGCAGCCTTCTCCTCTCCTAGGCCATATTTGAGAAGCATAGCAGCACTAAGCACTGTTGCTAAAGGATTTGCTTTATCCTACATGTTGAAACCATGTTAGACAAGAAAGATGAGGAGGCAACTACTCTTCATTGCAATGTGAAATAGCCTGTATTACTTATCATGCACCCAACCAACCTGTCCAGCAATATCAGGAGCAGAACCATGTATTGGCTCAAAGAGTCCAGGTCCCTACAGCCAACAATTCCGAGAAGAGATGTCAAGTACATAAAGAAATTCAATAGAAAACCCAGACAACATTTAAAGAGAAATGCAGATGTGGTGATTATACCGATTCTCCAACACTGGCAGATGGAAGCATACCAATACTTCCAGTAATCATTGAAGCTTCATCAGATAGAATATCACCAAATATATTGTTTGTTACAATCGTATCAAACTGCAACAGTGTAATTACAATTATAACTCTTTTTCCATAATCTATCTCAAAGAAAATGACAATCAAGATTTATATTAAAATTTGTAGAGGTTTGTGATAAAAATAAATAATAAATAAATAATAACAATAATAACAATAAAATAAACCTGTTTTGGATTGCGAACAAGCTGCATGGCAGCGTTGTCCACATACATATGTGAAAGTTCAATATCAGGGTACTCTTTGGACAACTCTGACACAATCCTTCTCCAATGCATAGAGGCCTGGCAAATATCAACAGTGAGGAGCCCATCCATTTCACATTTTGTCCTCAATTCATTTCTAGTGAAATATATTGTAAAGATACATGTGCACAGTGAAGAACCATTGGAGCAGCTCTTGCAATAGAACAGTGTTTAGTTTTATATCATCATGTTACATTTATAACATGATTATGTATGTTACAATTACAATCAAACAACTAACACATTTACAAAGTACAGTTTGGTTATAAAAGAAAAGAAATACGTAGTAGAAAGAGAGTGGCATCAAATCTCCACCTATCCAAAAGAGAAATGGTTAGCACCAGTAACTTCCACCATTTGCAAGACATGAATGATAAACTCTAACAAAGTGGACAAGAAAAGAGAAAGGAAAAACTCTGAAGGGGTGAAAGAAAAAGAGCAGAAAGGAAACAATAAATGGCACATCAGTGGAGTCTATCTTCATGCTTGTATTATATGATCTATAATATGAATTTTTCAATGTACATTGACATTTGTGACAATGCACAACTGTCCTTGATGGTACATAATCCTTTTGAACTCTTCTTTGCTTAAAGCGAAATATTGCATAAAACATTCCAGAATATGCATGTAAGCATAGTCTATGTGCAGGGAAAACAAAAGAGGGGTATACAAACAAATAAAAACTACGGGGCACTTTGTTATCAATTATCATAATATACCTCCAACACATTTGCTTTATCAACAGAACACAGTTTTCCTCGACGTTTTCGTGCAGTTTCAAATGCTACACGAGCAATACGTTCTACCTGGCAAGAGAATCTCACATCAGATTCCAAAAGATTGCAAATATTTTTTTTTTTTTTAAAGTCCGATAAGAAATATGGTGCCAAAAGTAAGTAAATATCCAAATTGTGAAGTGCAAAAAGAGTATTATTTTAATCAAATTCTCCAAAAAGTATTACACTGGTAAAGACAATGAAAACTCCTCTTCCAAACATCTACTTGCAAGTTGCAACAAATGGTAACTTATTTAAGAGGACTAAACCTATGACTCTAATGAAAGAATGAGTATTAACTTCTTTTTTTTTTTGGATTGGGAGGGGAGGCAACATGATTTTTTTTATAGATCAGAAAGTTTACCTCGTAAGTTGCATAAACTTCAGTATTGAAACCAATTTCCTCACCATTTTCATTTGTACCAAAACCCCTTGGTTTGCCAAAATAAATACCTGTCACCAGATTATAATAATCGGGTCAAGTGGGCAACAGATGTTTTCAATGAATATATGTACATAAGATATTAGAACTGTCAGGATGAAATTCAAATTATGATTGTTAAGACCACCTAAACTAACCTCCTGTAAGTTCCCTGACAACCATTAGGTCTACACCTTCTGCAACTTCTCTCTTCAATGTTGAAGCATCTACCAACTGAATTACATGGGTGTAAGATTCAGATTCAGATTAATATGAGCTACCACCTCAATTATGGAGGAAATATGACATTTATCACACTATTCACATAAAAAATTCAAAAATAAATAAATAAATGAGGGGATATATTACCATTTTACTTTGGGTAACTTCAACTTTACTCCCAGAAACTATACAATAAGGAATACTTAACCCCCTTAAATTTTTAATAAAGACACTTAATCCCTTTGACTGGTGATTCAAATTATTAAGGTCGATAAAAATACCAAAGTGAAATACATATTAGATATCTTGTAGGCTTTTTTTTTTTTTTTCTAGCAAAAGCTCCATGCTCCATACTATATACTTCTTCTAAATGTCACATATTCTCACTATTAAAGTTTCAAAAGAATTATCTGTATAAAATTATTAAAAACTACTTAAATCACAAAATAAAACTTTAAATTCATTTTTATAATTTTTGAATTAAGGAGTTTAAAAAAAAAAATCCGTCTAAAAAAATAATGATAATTGAATTGTTAAGTTATCAATAAAATTCTTGAATGTATAATATTTATATATGAGGGTTTTTTTTTTAAAGTACTTTTATATAGCCAAAAAAATAAAATCACCACTGAAAATCATAAAGGGGTTTAAAGTACTTGAATGTTTTTCTTTGCCTAGAGGTAATAGAATTAAAAGGTAAATAGATCATATGTGAATCATATTAATTCGATGGGAACTAAAGAAGTCATCAATATGCTAAGTGGACTTAGAAATCATATCTCTAAGAACCCTAAATTAAAAACTCTATTAGGACAATAAAAAAGAAAGTGTTCAAAATAACCACCAAAGAGGCATACCCTACGGGTTTTTTTTTTACTATTTCTCATCAAAGGGATAAAAAGGCAGATAACAATCACAGTACAATGCAATAGAATAAGAGCCTATCCTCAACGACTCAATATTTTAAGTCTGAACTAAATTACCTGTGGCAGGACTGACGCAGGTCTCAAGTTTGCAAAGACCTTAAGACCCTCTCGAAGCTGAAGCAATCCGGTCTCAGGCTTCAAATGCTTTTCATTGTTGTCCCATTTATACCTTTATATTATAAGAGCATGCTAGCATTCAGTGAATCAAAAAGGATAAATCATGTACAGATTTAATAGCATACAACTAAAAAAGAGTGTAAAATGCTCACCCTCCAATTGCTCCAAGAAGAACAGCATCAGATTGCTTTGCAGCTGAAAGAGTCTCCTCAGGCAAAGGTACTCCTGCCAAATCAATAGCAACCCCACCCATAGGCATCTCATTGAACCCAAACTCAATTCCTGCAACATTTCAAAATCAATATAACCATTAATTGTAATGCTACAATTGCAACCCACCCCTCCAAAATTTTCCCTTCCTATCTACCCTCATGACATAGAACTTTTTCATGGGATGATTTAGTCATTGATAACAAGTTAGTGGGTCAACCAATTCATGACACCTAATGGATAAGCCATGTTAGGAGGAATTTTAGGAGGGGGAAATTTTGGAGGGGAACAAATCATTTTCCAACCATTAATCCTCATCCCCTAAGACCTTAAAAACATTTTAAAAATAAAAAAAGGCAAAAGACCCTTTTTTTTTTGGTAGTCAGAAAAAATGCATTAGTTTTAATATTCATAATGACAAAGTGGGTTTAACTTTTGAGTATTTATTTATTATAATCAAGATTTATATGTTCTTTAAAGTGCATGTATGCAATAATGAATTTGAACCTAACGTTAACTGCACAAGAACGAAGGTGAAAATGTGAAATACTTAATCTAGTGGCTGCACTGGGAACTATCATTTGCAATTTATGTTGGGAAATTGGGTTTTCTTCTGTTTTTTTTTCAAAAAGGTTTTGTGTACCTTCGAGAGAGCCAGTGAGTTGTAGAGCATTCTTAGCGACAGAGATGACTTCAGGGCCGATACCATCACCGGGGAGGAGAGTGATGGAGTAGCATTTGCTGGGTGCAACGACAGAACAGCGAATCGTAGCCAATCTAAAAGAAGGGTGTATGTGGGGGGGCTTATAATGGAACTGGTGTGACTTGATAGGTATTCTCACACCGGTATGTAAAGAAGCCGCCATCATTGAGAATCTGCCCAATTTCATAAAGTAAGATTTACAAAGCATTGTAATAAAAGGGTATACACTGTAAGTACAAGTGAATGGAATTATTACCCGTGAAGCAAGCCTGCGCCAAACTATCAAGCTTCTCTCTCTCCTCGTGCTAAAACAATATCAATTGTCTTGTGCTGTGTCAAGGCAACAGGAGTCATTAACCATCAGCAATAGGTTCAGGAAGACAACAGTAGATGAGAAAATTGAGCACAACACCTGGTATGCAAATGACAAGAAAGTTGAATGCGCTTGTGCACAATCTATATGACTATATACATAGGGGTGGGTTCAAATGAAAACAACCCCCTCCAGTATCCATCAATGCCTCATGCTAATCTCTTTTGAACTAATAATTTTACAAATTCATCAAAACTACGTAATTTTGACTAGGCGGGAAACTGAAAATTATTTTTATTTACCAAAAGTTGTGACTTTAATACATATATAGATAGATATTATTTTCACCATTCAATTTTATATTTTTTCTTTGTTATTGCCACTTTTTTTATATTATTATTCCCATTGCTAGTTTGTTTTAAGTATTGCAATTTTTGTTTTAAGTTGAAGAAGTTTGAAGGGTTTTCAAATTTCTGCACTCAATTTCTTATTCGTTTTATTTATTTATTTATTATTTTTTTATAAAGTTCTATTTTGGATTTAGGTTTAGGGTTTATGGTTTTTTTTTTAAGAATAACACTCTGAATAGCATGAAATTACTTGTTCCTACTCTGAACTACCTTTGAGAGCAATGACTTCCATCTCCCTATACATTTTGATGCAAGCTAAGACTGCAGCTAATTTATGCAGTCTATTACATTTTTTTTTTTTCATAAATAACAAACACTTTATTCATAATTAGTATTACATTTTTTAGTATAAGTATTACATTTACATATTGACCAAACCTGTCTTACGGATAAGAGTCCGTGAAACGGCCTCATACAAGTGTGATCCTTTATCTTTTGCTTATTTCAATCAACAATTAGCATTATATCATGAGCCAAGATTTACCTTACATTATAAATCTTGTTTAAAAATTATATATTTATACTTAATCTATTTCGTAGATTTAATTAATAAACTATATACTTATAAATAAATTATGTATTTAAAATTATCATATTATGTGTTCGTAGTTAACAAGTACTTTCAATTTATGTACAAACTAGTATAACATTCGTGCAATGCACGGATAGTAACATATATTCAATAATTATATTATTTATCAAATTTAAATAATGTAAATAAATAAATAAATACTCAAAATATTATACAATATTCTAACAATATCTTATTATAATAAAGTATGTATAGTACCTAATATCAAACTTTGCTTTATAATGACTTAGTGTTGGATTAAATTAAATAAATAAATAATAATAATAATAATAATAATAATAATAATAATAATAATAATAATAATAAAAAGATCATGTAACCATCACTTGTCAAACTACAAAATTACCATGGGCATACAAAGAAGGTTATACCAAAAAAATCACAAAGATTGAACCTAATTTAAGGGTATTTATATGCAAGCTAAGGGATATCTAAAAGTTAGAGTGCAAAGTGACTTCGCTAGAGACAAATTTTGAATTTGAAAATTTTAATTAAATGTAGTCAACACAAACAAATGCCTAAAAAAAATTAATTAATAAAATTTATGTTAATTAATAAAATATAAAAATGAAATATAAATTTTAAATTTTAAATGAAACAATGTCATCATGAAACATTTATTCGTTACAAAGAAGAAGCATTAACCAATTTAATTTGAAGTAACAAATTCAAATAAATCTTGGATCCATACAATTCATATATATAAGAAAGAAAAACACAGAGAGAAACCCAAGAATTGTAGGATAATAAAGAGGTTATTATGAACTAACCAAAGATGAACGAAGGTTTCCTCTCTTGGCAAGATTAACAGCGAGCTCCAGATTATTCAACTGCAAAATATATTGAAATTTATGAATCTTACAGTAAAAGTTGCTTCATTTTCTAATAAGATGATACAAATAATGAATTCAAGGGGGTACAAAATGAAGCATACAATAAGCAAGATGTTAAATAGACCGCTTACCAACACCTAATCCACGATAAGGTGCCAAAACGCCCAAGGTCATGATGTATACACGAATAGCCCCACTTTCCTTCTTCTCAAGCCGACACGCGATTGCACCAACACAAATGTCACTATAGTATGCTGCATAAGAAGCAATAAACCATGCACATATTTTTAATATCCTAACATTTAAATGACAATTTTTTAATAGGTATAAGATTCTTAAGTAAATATTTGGAAATGGAAAATTGAGTTTTTCATGAAAAATTTACAATTTACAATAAAAAGGTAATACTTGAACCATATTTTCCTAATATCTCAAGAATTATATGTTTGACTCAAATAACTTTTTGGTTTACAATATTAATGAAAGTGTTGTGTTTTTATATGTTCTTAATCATCATTGTCGCAACAGCATAAGCTAAGAATAACTAATAAGAATAGATGATTGCAGAGGATGCAGATATGTTGCTCAATAAAATGATCGTAAAACAAAAAGAAATTAAAAACTATGGCAAACAAAGAGTAACTGGAAGCATTAGAAAGAAACTAAAGATTTTATCAAACAATCAGTAGATAGGACACCTTCAAATATTAGCAAGTAATCCATAACATTTAGGGAGGAAAAGAAAGAGCTTATTGAGGGTTACAAACAAGATGCAAGTCATAGAAACTTCTTTACTTATATCTGTTATGGTGAAAAATCCCACCATAGGCAGATCCATCAGCATGTTGTTGGGGAAAGTGGAAGGCGAGGATAACAGAAGATTTTTAATTTTAGACTTTACCCCTGGTTACTCGATAATCAATTAATTACAATTTACATGTATAGAACTGCACTTATTTTCATGTAGCAAGTCTCAGACTCTCAGGTGATCACTATAAGATTATTTTCTTGAAAAAGCACCAAGGATGGAGCAACCTTTAATACAATTACTTACTAAAAACAACCTAAAGTAAAAGCATAAAAAGACATTACAATGACCTGATTTGATAAATTGTACAAATTGACTGTCTCAACACATATCTCAAGACCAACAGTCCGTGAGACCATTCTTGCACATACCTTTTAAAAATCTAAACTAGACCATAATTCTAATTTAGTTGAGGTTAACTAGAAGAATTTTACATCTCCCTTCAGTAATAGTAGTGTATCTTTCTTAATAGCTTAGCAACAAGTAAGTTTTGGTCTTCCTGTTCCTTTTCTAATTGGTTAAAATATATGTATACAGTAAACACATCCAAACTATCTGAATTGATTAATACGAAGTAAAATTAATCTAATGTGGTCTCTTTTTGTTTTCTGGAACTTAGCACTCTCTTCTTAGTTACTTATCTTGTCCACGTCTTAACTCTGTTTAAGCTCATCTTAACAAAGCAGTCTAAAATACAATCAAATGAGGAGAGCTGTGGCAGATCACATTTCTATGAAATGAATGTGTGTGTTTATATAATTATTTCCCAAAGGGAAAAAGTTGAAAACACCCCTAATTCAAAGGGAAATCTTTCTAAGCAATAGTTGATAAAATACACTCACATTGTAGCTAGACTACTGTCATTAACTAAGAGCCACACTTTTTCTACTGAACTAATAAATAATAACCATTCATTAACTAAAGAACTCATCATCCATATTATAGAAAAGGATTCCCTGCTCATTCATACAATCTGCAATCCTAAATGCTGAGCTTCATCAAACAAAAATGCCAAACGCAAATACAGATGAGATGCTAATGCTCCAATGGGCAAGGGCAGTTTATAGTTTCTCTCGGGAGCTTGAGCAAACCAAAGGCAGTTTATAGTTTCTCATACCTTAAAACAAAAATATATTATTAAAAATTGAAAAAGAATAAAAATAAAAATAAAAAAGGAACCTGCAGGGCGGTGGCTGGGGCGGATGCGGTGACGGTGACGGTGGCTGTGGCGTCGCAGGGGAGCGACGAAGCAGATCGGCCGCGGAGATGGCGTTGGCGAGTGCAGATCGACGAAGCTGTACCGTCGGCAGCAGTGGCGTCGCGGTGGTGGATGCGGTGGCTGATCTGAACTGAAGGATGCGGTGGTGTGCGTCTGTTCTGAACTGAAGGATGCGGCGGTGGATGCGTCTGTTCTGAACTGAAGGGATGAAGGGTGCGGTGCGGTGCGGTGGATGTAACCCTGTTTGGTCACTATTAATTTTATTTTTTTTTAATGTTACTAGCTCTATTATAATGTAATATCTGTTCACATACTTTCTCGACCTACTGAAATCAGGGTTGCAAAAATTCCGCCTAGGCACCGAGTAATCGGCGCCTAGGCGCTAGGCGCCCCTAGGCTGTGGCGATTTCCCCCTAGGCTCCCGCCTAGCGCCTAATTCAGCCGCTTAGCGCCTAACTCGATCGATTACACCGAGTTTACTCATCAATTTCTGTCGAGTTAGCCGAGTTAACCCGGCTGGCTTGACCTTGCTAATTTTTTTCATTTATATGACATATATATATATATATATATATATATATATATATATATATATATATATATATATATATATATATATATATGGACGCACTCAGGTGCGAATAAGTGCCCAAGAAGGAAATGCGAACGAATCAGCGCGTGACACGTGTCCAGATCTAATAACTTAAAACAAAACGCGGTGACATTTTCGTAAATAATTGAACATCGAAGTGCAAGTAAAATCTCTTATAAGTGCACCTATTTTCACCTATAAGTGCATGTAATTTTGCCTTGTTAGCATTCACTTTCCGCAACCATTCATGCACCTGGGTGTGCTTATAACTATATGTGCAACTATTTATAACTATAAGTGCAACTACGTATAACTATATGTGCACCTACTTTCACCTATAAGTGCATGTAATTTTGTCTTGTTAACATTCATTGATCTGAGTTCAGCGGGTAGTAATACTCCTAAAAACCACTCGCAAACATTCATACACCTAGATGCAACTACTTATACCTATGTGTGCAACTACTTAGAACTATAGGTGCAACTACTTAGAACTATAAGTGCAACTAAGTATTGATGCTCAGTGTAAATTTTTACTTGCACCTATAATACATTTTACATGCACTTGTAATACATTTTACTTGCACTTCGATGTTCAATTATTTACGAAAATGCCACCGCATTTTTTTAAAAAATCAGTGTTTCTCATCCATTAGATCTGGACACGTGGACGAACAGAATCCATTCCTATTTCGCGCTTGGGCGAGCCGTTCGCACCCGAGTGCAACTCTATATATATATATATATATATATATATATATATATATATATATATATATATATATATATATATATATATATATATATATAGAATTCTAATCAGGTGAGAATAATTTGTTAGGTGAGATTGTGTGGTTGATTAGTGGCCATTGATCTTAGGCAATCTAACGGTTAATTTTTGCTGTGCAATATTAACTGACCGTTTTGCACTGCCTTATTATTTGCTGTATAGATTGACCTTTTAATTGCACAGTATTCCTAGTGTGGGTAGTATCGTAATCTCAGTATTTCATTTATTGCACGCACCAAAAGTTGAGGGGATTGACGTTTTCCTAAGTTCTCTCCGACGACTCCGTTTCAATTCTAGCCCGAAGGCGTCATGTGCTACTTCCCTCTTGCCGGACTACTAGTCATTGGTCGCTTCTTCCCATTGTGTTTTTCGTTTCCACAGCAGTTATTGCCCGTGCAAAGTGTTCTGATCTCAGATGGCGACTGGTTTGTTCTTCTTTTCTTTTCTTAATCCTTTTTGCTGTGATTTCTTTTCCAGTCAAAGGGGCCAGGGGGTGGGGGTGGACAGGCAGTAATAGATTGTGGGTTTTTTTTTTTTTTTGGTTAAATTGGAGTTCAATAAGATATTCTCATAGCTGTTCTGTTGAACCTGGGGTGCAGATGAGATTCAATGGATCAGGTTCATATATGAATGTCTAGTCTGCCCTGTTGATTTCTTTTATTTTCCTACATTTTATTGACTTCTAATTGGTAGTGCTTTGAAGAAATGATTCTTTCTCAAGTGTTTTTGGATAGAAGTGCACTCAATTTTTTTTTCCTAATTCGGTGTTTTTTTTTTCCTTAACATGGTTATGTTGAAGCTGTGCACTTTGCACGGCTGGAAGAATTGCATATGCTTGCTTCACAGTTTTTGGGGTGTAGGGCTTAAAGCTCTCTTTTCCCAGTGCTGTTGGAATTATAGATTACTATGTGTTTAGGAATACAAATTCTTAAGGGATTAGTAGCTATGTGTATTACCACTGTAGAACATGGATGCTTTAGGGTGGTGCACCAAACGTATATCAGATTAGTACGACAAGAAAGGATTACTATTTTGGTGTGATGGTTTGTTTGGTATGTCATCTTAGTTTTTTCTTTCATCTGTGTGGACAAATATATATACATTAAACGATGTGGGAATTCCAGCCTTGCGTCCAATATGCTTATGCGTTCTTGATAGCACGCATGGTTTAGGCTCAAACACCTCTTTTTTGTAGGGGTGGAGGAATTATTATAGAGCAGTAACTAAACCGGTGTAGTTGTGTCTTATTCTTTATGTTGATGGTGCAGTGCTGCTGGACGTCTACTAATATGTCCATAATTTCTTACCTCGCTAACACATTGTATCTAAATGTGCCCATTTTGGTGTTTTCCTTTTAGGTCTCTGATTTAACTAAATTTCTAACCTGACTTATTCTCATTTTAATTCATTACATTAGGATTTGGATAGTAAAGCCTTTCCCTATGAAGTCGGGGTTTAGGGTTTAGGGTTTGGGGTTTGGGGTTTTTTTTTTTTTTTTTTTTTTTTAAACAAAGTCATACTTTATTAAAAGAAAAAGAGAGGCCGAAGCCAATACAACGTTCGAAAGGACTTAGACCCCACATGGCCTAAATCCTACTAACTAATCTAAACTAAAAAGAGTAAATAAATACTACAGACGAAGGCCCCCGGGGCTATAACATGGCGGCCCCAAGTCCCATGCTAGCATAACACTAACACTAGACCAAACACTAGGCTAAGTAATAATAAATAATAAAAGAATGTTAAAGTAGTATGTAGTATGTAGACTGCACGCCTGCTCGATGAATGAGAATCAAGTATAGTATGTCAGCATCACAGCCCATCATATAAGCATGTAGATGGGTGACAAGGGGAAAAGCCACCTTGCGTGTCATGCGCCATAACACCACAACCGCAACATCTCCTGGGGTGCTATTGACTGCCCTGTTACAAAGCAATAATACACACCTCCCCATCTAAATATAAAGGCAAATATCGGCACACAGGCCTAAGTCCAGAAATAGCATAAGTAGCACAAGGCAGCTCACAGGCCAATATAACAGAGCCAATACCAGAACCAACCCTAACGGGATTAGCTACTATGGGCCAGCAGCAAGCCTGGACTACCGCCAACGGATTTGAAAAACCCCTACCCGGCCACCGTTCAGCCCGGGCCAGGATGCAATTTCTTACCGCTTGCACCAACATTGAGGCGTGGTCTATCTTAAAAGATGCCTGCAAAGGCGGAACCACAGAAGCCTATAGATCAGTCAATGCCTCGGAGGCCAAAGAAACAACAACCTCAAAGATAGAAAACAAGATAGAACAAACAAGCATCCTGTTCCCTTGACCCCAACTATTTCAATCTCCTCATAAGGTGAGTGTATAGGTATTAACAGGCTGACGCGAACAAACAGCAAACCCCCCAAATTAAGACCCGTCCCCCCCAGAGTCCAGAAGGAACTCGGCTACTATTGGCCAGCAGCAAGCCTGACCAGGTCAACGGATTTGATTAGTCCTGCCTGGTGCACCGTTCAGCCCAGACTAGGGTGCCATGTTGTACTGCCAACACCTTACGTTGAGGCTCAGTCCCGACCAGCAGAACCTCATCGCCTCCAAGTCCCGTCCCCCCCGGGGCCCGGAAGGGACTCGGCTACTATTGGCCAGCAGCAAGCCTGACCAGGTCAACGGATTTGATTAGTCCTGCCTGGTGCACCGTTCAGCCCAGACTAGGGTGCCATGTTGTACCGCCAACACCTTACGTTGAGACTCGGTCCCGACAAGCAAGACTTCATAGCCTCCAAGAACACCTCACACACTCTCTGTTTTTAGCTCACCTCAACTCTTTCTTTTCCTTTCTGTATTCCGTCATTTTACCACTCTTTCTTTCTCTCATCTTCTTTTCCCCTCATTTCTTTCATTCCTCATTTCTCTTTTTTCTCTTTTTTCTTTTTCATTTCTTTCTTTTTTCCCTAATAAAATTTTCTTTTATCTTTTTTCATTACAAAAAGTGATACAATTCATCAAAGCAAACCGTAGCTCAAAGCGGGTCGTAATCATCAAAAACCACCGATGGGATATCATCATGAAGCAGCAGCGCACGCACCCTCGGTGGTAAATCTGACAAATTACGAAAAGTAAACTCCCCATCCTTGTCCCCAACCCAATCTGCCAATGCAGCCACCGGGAGATTACCCTGCGGCAAACACTGAAGAACAGAAACAGATGCACAGGAACAAAGAAACCGGAGTCGTGACACATCAGAGTCAAAGACCCATGGACTAGGTGTAGTGGGGTCTACATAACCCTTAAGCCCAGGCAAAACAGACTCTAGGACCAGGGATCTAAAACCCTCGGCCAAACACCATTCAAGAGAGCGGTGCATAACCTGGAAAAGGTCCCGAAACCCGTCGTCTGCCGAAATGGCTAGGCCGTAGCAGAGTCCGCCCCCCCGATTACGTACCAAGGCAGCAGACCCACCCAACGCCTCAGAATATGAAAAATTGAGCTTTATAGAACCATCGGGAGGGGGATCCCATCTAATAGCGCGAACCACGCGCCGCGGTACAGTGGAATCTATGTAGGACAGAATGACCGGCCAATTAGGTGGAAGGATGTGTTCCTGCGGCCATCGCCTAAAGAGACATTCTGCCACCCCTTTGGCAACGCCATACACCACTCGAGGTACACTCGGCGACCCTCTGCCATGCAGGCATGTGTTCCTGTGCTTCCATAACTCCCATAGGATAAGATAAGGCAACCTGCAGATAACAAAAGCAACAAGACGGTTATGCGAAACCACTCGCTTCCACCCAGTCAAGAGCGTCCGTAGACCCCGATGACTGAACCGCAAGCCGAGTGATCCCATAAA